GAACTCACAAGTTCGGAGAAATTGCTGAATTGTTACAGAAGAAACTTTGTACAGAATATGTTCTGATGGAGCCATGGTGCCATTTAAAGAACTGCTTTCCTTTTTACAGGACATACCCGGTAAAAATCATAAATATGGAATTCAAATCTTCAAATTATGCAATAGCTTTGGATACACTTTATGTACGTTTGAGAACATACACAAGTATGAATGTTGTGGGAAAGAATCTGTCAGAAAATGTTGTGCTGGAACTTGCGGATGATTATGTTGGTGAGGGCCAAACTATGTAACTGATAGCTATGCCTCTTGCAAAACAACTCCTTGAAAAGAATACACTTTTGCTTGGGACATTGAAAAAGAGCAGTAGGAATTAATCAAATACCAAATTCCACCAATTATTCAAAATAAAGGGAAATCGTAGGACGAGTTATCTGATAGTATTGTGGGAAAATGGAAGGGCAAAAGAGAAGTGTTTTTTCTGTCAACAAAACATGTTTTATATGTGGTTACACTTGCTAAAAAAAGCGGGAATTGGGATTGAAAACTGAAACCTGCACTGTTATAAGGGAAAGCAAGGAATAGACATTTCTGACCAAATGGCTAGTTTCTTTTCACACTTAAGAGAAACCATTTGATGGTATCACAACATCATCTTCTAATTTCTCTTGACTTCAGTGGTAAATGCATCAATATTATTTAGGAAGTTAACAGGAAAGAAAATGCAGGTGAAGAACTTCAGGGCAAGCATCATACAGCATTTACTCAGATATACAATTGATCAAAAATTATTACAAGAATCTAGAAGTCAGCAAAGGTTACCAAAATCTCACAAACTGTCAGGAAATAGGCAAAGTCACGGCCTGACAATTACAGAAGAGAAAGACATGAGAAACAGAAAAGTGCGAAGTGATTAATTTCTTGAATTCATGTTCATTTTTTGCTTTAGTTTATCTTTTCCTTTTTCATTGTAACAACACACTTGAATTTGGATAATTGTTCTGAGATACGTTTACTGAGGCAGCCAGCACGTGGAGGTGACGAGTTCCACCCGAACGCCATGTATCTACCAGTGGCCTCAACATTTGTTTACAAAATATTGACAGGTATTATACTTATATAGAAATGCAATAAAATTTCTGCATATCATTAGATAATCAAGAATTATCTTTATTATGATTTGGCCTAGTAGTAAACCTGTAGAGCCTTGGCACTCACCATATTAAAAGAGGAACAAAAACAGAATGTAACAACTCAAAACAGTGGAATCACTACCACCAACCTCAAAACTATTTACCAACATCATAGAGAATAAAATGAGAGAATATGGTGAGAACTATATGGGCAAAGAATTATGTGACTTTGGGAAGACCATCAGCATGAAGGATGTTATTCTCATTGTTCAAAGAATAGTAGTCGAGAAAAATAAACGGACCTTGCCAATAATTACTTTATGCTAAGAATTTTGAATAAGCTTTGATTTGATCAGATTTATTTTCATCAAAGAACAGTAAAGAATGAATGTGAACAAACTACGAATTTGATTTTTAGTACTTTTAACAAATTAGTAACCCAACCCACAGCACTACTGTATGTCTAGCAAAAAGGGAGCTCAATAAAAAGTGGACATAATGAGGCTACATTTGTGATCACAAGCCAAACAAGGGGCCATCTCAGCATTTGCCCAATTAATCACGGAAACTGAATGAAAAACAGTAAACTTTTCTATGAGAGGAAGGCCGCTGTTGTGTGTGACTTGCCATTAAACAGATTAAATGTTAGCGAAAGACAAGCCGTTTTGATAGATATCCGCCAAGTTCGGTGCAGAACAAATGAAAGTCGTGACAAACAAATTAAGCAATAAACTCTCCTCTAAGAAATCAAGAGGTTTTTGTACAATTCGGAACGAGGAGTTTGGGGTGAGTGATAGGGGCAGGCAGGCAGGCAGGCAGGTCACAGACACGATAAGTGACGAATGAACCGAGCGCGTTGGCTGGTTCAATGTCAAGAAAAGGTAGTTGGAATGCATGTTTGGTACCTGGTATGCTATGAAATGTCTTGATGCTATTGGGGAGTCGTGGGATTGCCGGAGCGTCGATCAAGTAGGCTGTGTTCGTCGAAAGGTGAGTATTTTGAAATGAACGATAAACAAAATGCCCAAAACCAAGTGTTATAGTAACTGGGTTGGAATGAATTGGGTTTTATAACCTACCAGCTGGACCTTTGTGAACATTCCTCACTTTGTAAATCATATTTTTAAAGTGAAAATACTTTCATACGGTGTCTTAACTTTCGGTCAAACATGAATTGTGCATTAAACAATGTTTATCTTATTATTTATTTATTTTATGTTAAAAACGGTGTGACGTGCTATAGGGAGAAGTGTATTCTGTGCACATTTTCTTAATTCCGGGATCCCTATCATAAAGAGATGAATTGTGAATACGGAAAGAAATGTGCATTTTTGGCAAGAATTGTTAACAAAATATTCACGCC